TTCCTTCCTTCCTTCCTTCCTTCCTTCCTTCCTTCCCTCCCTCCCTCCCTCCCTCCCTCCCGTCATTAACCTGCCTGTTAGGGATGCTGAAAACTGTAATTTAAAGATCTGGAAAGCCATTTGTTAGGAAAGACCAAAATGGACCAAAACTCTGGTTCAGCTGAAAAAATAATAAGTGCACCACAAAGGAAGGAATTCCTCCCAAGCAGATGGTAGAATTGGGCACAAGCCAGCCTGAGCGAGAGATCAGGAGATCCGAGTGGAAACACAGAGAGAGTCCCATCCGTGCCCCTGGGCAAAACTCTTGCCGGTGCTTTCCCGCTTTCATTTCTGTTGGGCTCTTGTGGAAGATCCTTGCAAGCAGAATCGATGCGTGTAGGAAGACTGTAACCTGAGCTAAGCCCTGGGCATTAATTAAGAGTGGGCCATCAAGGTAAGAAATTGGTATCGCCCGTGATCTTCTCTTCTCCGTCTTTCCCATCTCTGATCCAATGAAAGGTTTTTTTTCCGCTCCACCCAGTCTCCCCTACTGGCCCCGTAACTGTAGGCATTGTAGGAGGACAGCCCGGTTGGTCTATGGGCACCCAAAAAAAATCGGTTTGTCAGAAAAGGTGCGCCCAGACCCCTTCTGATTCTTTTGCTCCCCATAGCTGATCTCTTCCAAATAGCTGGAACTACAACTCCCATTGCTCTGAGATACCGGCTGAGAAATAGGGTTGTTGTAATCCTCAACGCACTGGGAACAATGGCTGTCATTCTCAGCGTGTTGGACCGAAAGAATAGCCCAACTTTTCTGTGTTTAGCCCTGTGTTGCGGTGTCAAATCTGGACTGGAAGTTCCTACGGGAAAGAACTGTGTTTTATGGAAATATCCCATAGACCCTGATCTTTAATACATATAATAAAAATCGATATATTACAGCTTCCCTCGCCCCTATATTTTTTTCTCCTTAAAATATATTGGAATCATAATGGCAGAAACGATACCTCTGTGGCTGGGGGAAGGATCGGGGTGTATTTTGTACTGACGCCCCCCTTTTTCCCAACAGGAATCCGGCCTGAGGTGTCCCCAGTTCTTCTCCTGTGGAACCCTATTAAAAGCAAAGGGTAATGACCGTAACCAGCTGTTTTTGACCTAAAAGGCAATTTATTCCAAGTATGTCTATCCGCACTCCAGTCGCAGCCCGTTCTGGGTGCAGCCCTGAAGTGGGTTTCTAAAGAGTGCAATTCTGCTAGCATCCAGAAGGGGGCAGACTATTTGCATTGGAAGTAGAGGGCTTAAGCAAGGTGTCGTTCCCGTGTCGCACACTAGGGGCAGCAGCGCCATTCAAAACTTTGGGGAGATGGCTTAGGCCAGGCTGCCCTCTGGTGGATGCCTTATGAATGACACACTGCATATTGGCAGGGCGAGCACCTCTTTCTGTAAGTGCTCAGCTGGTGCACAAAATGTTGCCCAAAGCTGCAAGTTTGAATCCCACCCGGGGTTCCACGTGCCCCCACGAGAGCCTCGGCCTGCTCTTTATGTTATTCTTGCTTTGCTCCAGCTCCCACCATGGCTGAGATGGCTGAGTTTGGGCCCGCCGCCCCTTTCCTGCGCATGACTGAGAAGCTCAGGATTGAAGCCCAGAACCGGCCTTTCGACATGAAAAAGGACGTGTTTGTGCCGGATGACAAGGAGGAGTTTGTCAAGGCCAAGATCATTTCCAAAGAAGGTGGTAAAATCACCGCGGAAACGGAACATGGCAAGGTAAGCTCGTCCTGCTAGGTTTCTTTCTGCGTCAGGCATAATCCTCGCAAGTCAGAACTTGGAGGGAAGCTGCTCTGGGCTTTCTCCCCTCAAGTGATCCTCCAGATCTGAAGGAGGTGGATCCTAACCCTAACCTTCCTAAACGCTTGGAGTCTTTCATCCAGGTGTGCTGTAAAGCTGGGTGTCCATAGTGCTGGCTGGGGAGATGGGACTTAAAGTCCAAGCTGCCTGGACTGTACCAACTGGGGAAGGCTAGAGACCCTAAAATACCCTCTGCCTCATATAATCTCCCCAGTGTCTCCTTGCTGTCCCCAGTGCCTTTGGAATGGGAAGCCCTTGGAATGGCTCCTACAAGGAATGATAGTAGAGGGAAGAGGGAATGGCCTGGAAGAGGGGAAGACCAAAGCAATGGTTAGATAAGAGGGGGTTGAGCCCAGGCCAATGAAGCAACGTGAGAAAACGTCTCAGATCAGCCCCTCCCTAATTCCCATGATAGTAGAGGGAGGGAGGGGGAAGCACATTCAGACTTGCAAGACTGTTACTATAATGCAATAAAAGTAGTACTGACTTACATGGGATTGATATCTTAATCTGGTCTACCTTGTTGGGCTGACAGTGATAAATCTTCCGGTAGGTCAAGCGCTACCCCTTAAGGGTCATGGTTTGTGTGTCTGTGTGCACTTTCAAGTCAGTGTTGACTCCTGGCAACTGCCTGGACTAGTCCCTGAGGTTTTCTTGGCAAGATTTCAGAAGTAGCTTGCCATTGCCTGCTTCCTAGGGCTGAGAAAGAGTGACTGGCCCGAGATCACCCCACTGGCTTCGTGCCTAAGGCAGGCGTTGAACTCACAGGGTAGTGTCAGGAGTCAGGATAGGATTGAGGGAAGGGAACCCCGTCCTCGTAGTGAGGCCTGTCTGACACCAAGATCCAACTTCTTTTCATCGGCAGACGGTGACAGTGAAAGAAGATCAGATTATGCAGCAGAATCCGCCCAAGTTCGACAAGATCGAGGACATGGCCATGCTCACCTTTCTGCACGAACCGGCCGTGCTCTACAACCTGAAGGAGCGCTACGCCTCCTGGATGATCTATGTAAGCTGGAGGGATGGGGAAGGGTGGCTCTCCCGAATAGTTCTTCTTGTACCCACCAGGAACCAGGGGTGAGGAGCAAAGCATAGGTGGGGTTGAGTGCTTGGAGGCCATCCCAATTGCAGGGATAATAAACATTTATCATGCACATTGCAAATCTCCCTGTGGAGCACTGTTAACTATTTGGTGCCTTTCATCACAGATGAATCAAAGCGCTCTCCACCTCTCCTTGAAGTGGGGGAAAGGAATACTGGCATGAAATTTGTGGTCTCGGTTGCTGATCCCCCTCCTGCTACTATTGCTTCTCCCCCCAGTTCCTGACGGTCCCCTGATTCCCCCACAGGTCGGGGGTGACAAAGTCTAAGACAGGGATTTTCAAACTTAGCCACTTTAAGATGTGTGGACCTCAACTGCTGGCTGAGGAATTCTGGGAGTTGAAGACCACACATCTTTTAATGGCCAAGCTTGGGAAACAACGGGTTTAG